ACCTTTCCTGTTCCGGCTCCTTGGGATGGCACGGCTGAAAAGGCCTGAAGAGTATCAAGAAACAGAAGCACAGTTTGGGACCAGCTATTGGAAGAAGCCGTTAGCACCTAATCCTCCTCCCTGCAGTCCAAAGGGTTGGAACCACCCGTTTTTTGCGTGCATTTTCCACCTGCCCCAGTAGACTACTCATGCAAAGCCGCAGCTTTCCGTGCCCTCTGGCCCTCAGCAGCCGAGGCGGGCGGCGTAGCGTTATAATTAAGCATATAAGGTGCGAGGGATGAACACTCCAAGACGAAGGGAAAACGGCTTCAACCCCTACATAGCGGTTCAACATGATCTAAAACCTTAAACACGCTCGCTCAATTGGCGATTCCGATTCATCATCTAATATCTTCAACACGCCCCCTGAGTTGGCGATCCCAGTTCATCTTGTATCTGAAGGCCTTAAACATGTCCCCCGCGACCGGCGATAACGGTTCATCATATATCTTAAGGCCTTAAAACACCCCCCCTTTTCTTTCCTAATAGAAAGCAAAAGGTCAGAAACAAAAACCAAAATAAAAGCTACCGGCAAACGCAAACACACCAAAACAGCCAACAAAACGAAAACTTGGTTAAAGCGGGAACAGCAGAAAGCAAAAAACACACACAAAAAAAAATAATCGGATTCCAACGAACACTCTCGGGTCGAAATCCTTGAGCCATTTGATGCAAAGGCTTCTCTTGATTCACGACAGCGTCAGGGCAGCAGCACGCAGCAGCACTGCGGAATACCTTGTCTCTGCGCATGGATACCGCCGTCCACAAGCCACTAAAGGCCAGTGCCTTTGACTCACATGAAAGGACCTCGGCCTCCTGAAGCGGCACAGGCAAAGAAAAACGATCTCTGCCGATCGGATGCAAACACTTTGGCTGATGTACGGTTGCAGCTCCAAGCCGCGATATGCTGCACGTCGCTCTGGGATAGAACGGACCAAACAATTAGTGCGGTACGCTAGTGCGACGTCTCATTACGTCGTCCCCTCACGATCAGGGGAAGCCTCTGCAAAAGAAGCTTCAGCGGCATCTCGTGCATGTGCTGTGCCAGTCAATCGGGCGAACTTCCGGACGAAAATGCACAGCCTTTCGCGCCTCCGTCCCAGGCGCACCCAAGAAATATGCCCAGCCCTTCCATTGGCCGAGCTCTCCTGAGTCGTAGATTCAGGTGGAGAAGATTTTGCGTACAGGAGCACGACCAAAGCTGCTGCCAAGTTTCCATAGTATTGATCTGGGCGGCTTGGAATGTATGGGTTCCTTTTTTCGCCCATTTGAATCCACCTGCAAGCTTCGGTCGAAGCGCAACTGAATGGGGTGATGTAGAGTAGCCGAGTGGCTCTTCCCACTCCTCCTGGTTGTCCCAAAAGCCCATGGCCCGCACCCACTTGACACAGTCGTCGAACGGAAGAAAACACCTGCATATCAGGCGTAGAAAAACCCCGGATGGGCTTTGCTTAGCCGCTTCGCAGGGCCTCTTCCGCCGCAGGATTGCTCGTCTTGCCTGCTCTTCGAGCTCGGTGCGGAAGAGCCGCACGTAGTCCTGCTAGCAAGACTTGAACCTATGTCCGGAAGCGATCCTGTCGCCGGGCCTCTTCATCGAGGAAAACCAGCTTGTTCGTATCTAAGCATCGCCACACTTCTCCGAGGTTCGTAAAACAGCTGTACGTCCTCCCCCCATGAAGCTCACGCTACAGTAAGGCAGCAGCTCTCGTCTTGACCTGGGCACAAAGCTGGGTTGCAGAGTGCGTCAATTTCTACGTTGCCGGGCTGACCGCTGTTCGCTGAGACAAACTAAGTCTGCTGCCATCCGTGGACTTGGCATGACGGGTTGTTCGCCCACAGTTGCTGGATCCTTCAGACGAGCCTGCATGCTTTTGCTCACTTACCTCACATCCCCTGTAGAATGCGGGTGGCTAAATTCAGCCGACTGTGCTTTTGGTCTCCTAGACCTGTTGCCAGAACTTGAGAATGCAAGCACGTAAACCCGTTTCCGAATACATCTCAGCTTTTGCCCTGCTACGTGCCAGCATTCGCTCTTTCACCCCCTACGTCCGATCAAAACGATCGGGTGGGCCTGCGGCCCGGGGGCGCTGACCCGCCCTCACGCCCGAGAGAGACAGAGACAAAGACAAAGACAGAGACAGAGACAGACACAGAGACAGGGACAGAGACAGAGAGGAGAGACAGAGAGACGGAGACAGAGAGAGAGGGAGACAGAGAGGGAGAGGGAGAGAGAGAGAGAGAGAGAGAGAGAGATTGATAT